TTAATTTTGGGACGATTGGGCAGTTTCACAGCACCTTGATCAGCTTCACTTGTACACCTGATATCCGTCAGATCACTGTCAAGAGGCGTAGACTTAGCTCACTCTTTTCGGCGTTCTCTACCAATAGTGATCGGTTCATGTGGAGAACAGCCACTGATAAGGCTCCCTAGTGGGCTCATTTCACGCCTGCTGAAACGGCCTCCACCCTATTGAGACAGTATCATCTGTGGTACTTTTTTGACGCCACTCCTCATTATTTTCCGTTTAAGGGGCTATGTTCTCTTCGGCAAAGGTCAGTATCTAATTCTTCTGATCGTTCCATGTAAGCAAAAAAAAACTGCAATTTTCACGGAATAAACGATTTGCGGTCTATTAATCCGACGACCGAACCTGAAACAGTTAGAAACAGTCTTGCGTAAACAAAAACTAGTTATTGGGTTCCCCTTATGATCCGGAATGTCGTGATTCCCATAATTGAATCCCATTTAGCAAACTGGTTTTGCCTATCAACCTCGATCCACCCGCATTCACTGCCAATCATTTTTGATGGAACAATAAGCACTAGTCAACAGTCAACAGCTCCCAAACGCCATTATTTCATTCACCTCAGTGAAATTACCAGAGCTGTTGTGCATTTATGAGTTACTGTCAAACTAGGAAGAAGCGAATGAATCCTGGGGTTATCGTTACGGAAGTTTTTCCCTCGTATTGATCATTCGTCCATCTTTAATTCGATACTTGAAGGCAAAGCCCGCGACACAGACTACGGGCAACGGAGCTCAAATACGTACCACAAAGTGTTATGAATTTGATTATTGTGGAAAAGATGAACAGCCCGAAATGCCCTAAATAGGGCTCCATACTGACTTCTCGTAAGAGAATGCGTCTTTTTACGAATTTCGTTAACTCGTCGTTATCATGACTCTTTTATGTGTCTTATCAACTCACACTCGTCACTCGAAATGGACAGACATGTCATGGTAGCTAGAAGCCAGTGGGGGTCGGCATGGGGCCCAAGGGCTGCCCATGGGCCTAGTGAGTCAGATTCCAGCGTAGTCCCTTTAGTTTCACTTTTCAGGGTAGCTGAGCCTCTAGAATCGCTTTCCGGACCATCCGACTTATTTGAGAGGTTAAGACCTTATTTTATCGCGGAAAGTGCCTCTGACCGTTCCACACGTCCCTCTCCCGCTTCATGTATCTTACCTGGTCATGCACGATTCTTTGGAAGGGGTGGGGGGGGAGGGTCAGTGACGTCTCATACATACCTTCCCTATGTGAGTACACCACGTCACGCGTTGTGGTTAGCGAGGGGTTCGCATCATAGGAGAAATATTTGAGGGGAGAGCCGTATTTTGCAAAGTTTTTCTTCATCGTGAGGACGTTCTCTGACAGGGAGCAATACTAGTTCGAGAGCCACCATACCAACAACTCCTTTTGAGCAGAGCTTTCATAAAAGAGATCATACCCTTGCGCCAGGAGTTGTTCTAGAGTTTTCTCAGGTTCCAGTCGAAGATCGTTTTCATCCGGGGATTAAAAGAGATCTGCACTCGCCACAGGAGCAACGTACCTTTCGAATGAACTCCTCTTGTTCAACAACTCAATAAATGGATGCTATGAGTCTTGAAAATTTCTCGAGTGACTGCATAGCCAATCAGGCTACGCTCCGATATGGGACCAGAACCACTCTCAAAAGCGTGAATATAAAACTTACCGTCACAACATGTTATTATAGTATTACTACAGATTTCTCACATTGCTTGCTGAATCGTTCATATTGAGTTAAGAGACGAAAAGAGGCTCGAGTGGTGCTAAGAAGTGTACGAGTGCGTGGTCAGGGCTTTTCTTATCAGTCATTCTACGTGTCGCGTCTCACTGTGACATTCCGAGTCCGTGCTATTTTATTGCTATTTTTTCACTTTTATCGTATTTTTGCCCCTTATTTTTTCGCCCTTGAAATTCTATCATGAGCGTCATCTTCATAAAACGGATCTTTTTTTTTTCTTTTTTCTAGCTGTGACCCGCAGGAATAAATTTTACGCATTCGCGGACCTTTTACCGACTCAAGATTTACCATGAGAATTGTCATTCTTATTCATGCAGACGTAATCTAAATTACAGCTAATAATGTCGTTATTCAAACCTGCCGATGGAATAATGAAGACTAACGTCACATGGGACGATCTCCAGGAGAGCGTGTTTGAGGCATTTGGAGCAGAAGCGAAATTCGGACCAAACAGAGAAGTCAAAGATGTCGGATGTGGCAATGTAAGAATTTCTCATTCATTAACCGTTTCACATGAAACAGCAAAATAATAGTGTCAATGATTAAGGGGTTCATGTCAAGAATATGCTTGGTGTCACCGGATTGGAACACTAAAAAGGACGGTCTACCACAGAAATTGATCGTAAAGGCTAGTGATTAATTGATTACTCGTCCTGTATGAGTACATAAAACATTCATGTTCAGATATCCTCGCAATTGCCATTGCTTGAATGCCAAGGATTCGATGAGACTGGTCATTTCCATAGCGAGGAATTCGCTAAAAAATTCGAAGAGGATGTGAAGAAGGTAACATACGTTTTGTTGTTCTTTTAGACGAAACTGCTGTGCACTCACCTCCGTACATTTTGCTCCTTGCCATACGCCACAGTGCGTGGGAACTGGCCAGAAAGGTGGTGATACCCAGATGCCTCATTCATACTCCGCCTGCACTGCCGCACGCCTAACCATATCCAATATCCCTACTTGATTGCAACCTCTCGCTTCTGCTGTTCTCTACCTCTGACTGCGCTTTTGTTGAGGGACTTCGATATGGACGCAATTGCTACACAGTGAGTATAGCGTATGGAAAGGGCACTGGGTATAACTACCAGCCAGTTGCGTTCCTGTGTTCTCGAAATGAAAAAGTGGCATGCTACTGCAGCTGCGGGCTCACGCACCCCGCACGAGGCAATGACCGTCCCCGCATAGGATTGTACAGATTGTCTTTAATCTGTTGGATGGTGCAGATACTCCTCGTACTCCGAAGCTTAAAGTTTGTTTCCAGAATGTAAACGACGGAGAGGGAGAGACTGTCTGATATGTTCTAGTTTCTCGCTTTATGAACGCCCTCTTATAGCGGAATGTTCCTTTAAATGCGATTTCAGCTACAGTTCATACCACCGTAGTCAGACGGGTCGCAATAAGCGGTACCCACTTACGGCGCTTCTTCAATTAGTCGTTTTATTCCCACATGGATCACTACACGATAGCCACTGGCAGAGCAAGGCTGCTAGGGGCGGGATCATCGGACCCTCCTCACGCCGTCGCCGACTGGCTACGATACTACAAACTATATTTCAAGAAAAGGAAACAAATACCTTATTGATGTACCACCATCCCATCATCATTAGACAGTCGGTAAATAACGTGGGTCCAAAAATTATGTGGACAGGGTCGATTACGGAGAGCAGTTTTTGCCCCCCCCCCTCTTCGCCGGCCACCTTGGCCTCCTTTTCCACCTCCATACGTGAACACCTCCACGCGAACTCCTAGCACAGCATCGCTAGCTTGAGCTTCTCATTTTGCTAGCGATTGTTTAATTTTGAAATTGCTCCTCTTCGCTGCGACGAGAACAGCTCGTCGAATGGTTCAGTGTGCACCAGTTAGACGTGTTTTATAGCCGAAAGGGTTATCGTCGCAACAACATATTTGGTCGCACTGAGATTTCTACGCCATCTGGCTTCTTGTTTGTTAGCGTTGGATTTCCCCTGTCACTTTGTAACCACACTTTCGATGCGTTTCGCAGATTGACAGACAAGCCAACACACCAACACAAGTCCATCGCAAGACCTCCGCAACTATCTAGTTCTCTTGTTCTTCAGCACAGGGTACAGAATGGGAATGTGCGAATTGGCGGTGTGAGTACGACTCCAGAGAGTAAAGTTACGACCCCCCCCCTCCTGCTCTAACTGACAACCAGATGCATGTTCACACCAAATGGCTTCCTGAAATGGAATCTGGATTTTCGAAAGGCGGACTCTGCTCTAAAATCCAGGCAATAATAGGCTGTTTCAGCCTCATGCAATATGAGGCTGAACAACAGCCTCGCATTACCTACAATTTTGTCTTAGGATTCAGAATAAAACTCGTCGTTCGACAACCATGTATGACATGCAACTTGTAACAAGGAACACAAATCGAAACAGCGACTAATGGTGATCATTGATAAGCTAAATTGGTGAAAAAATAGCCCCAAGGTCAGTGTCAGGCCCCAGATGTGCATTCAATGAATGGTGACGGGGAAATCATGAAAACATGCACGACACAACAAAGCGAAACATGAAAAATACAAAAAAATGCGGAGCCAAATGAAAAAAAATTATTATCGATCGCAACGCTTGGGACCCCTTTCATTGGGAAAACGTCATTGGAGCGCGGTTGTTGGACCTGCAAACCTCCTGGGGGCTAATGCCGTTTGGACTCCAGCAATTTCGGCATTCTTAACTTGCCTAAGTAACCAAACCCGCTGAAAACATGTACACAAGGGATGACACTACGATTACCTCTTGGGCTCAGCCTTAGCGGAGCGCAGGTAATCGTAGTGTCATCCATTGCGCCAGCGCCAAGAATGAGTGTCATAATTGTAATCAGGATGGTAAATAACCCTTGTGTACATGTTTTCAGCGGGTTTGGTGACTTAGGCAATTTAAAAATGAGCTCGGTGCCGAAATTGCTGGAGTCCAAACGGCATTAGCCGTCCTGGGGTCTTTTCGGGGGGGGGGTTATATCTCTTTTAGGTGCGCGGCTTTTGAAATGGTTAGCAGCATGCAAAGGCAATGTTCCTACTGTTGCGTTTTCTACCTAGTTGCAATCTGAATGTTTCCCCGTTCGTGAAATATTTCGGATGGGTTTCGGATCGGCTAGGGGTAAATGGCAAGCGGGTTTTTATGCTTCACACGAGGATTACTTATTTCGAACGCAATTTCATTGGAACCAAAACCGTCTCCAGAGCGCCCTATCTTTTCTCTTTCCAATTTACAGCTTTCCTAAAGACCCGCTAGTTGAGGAGATATTTTAGATGGGTTACCAAAAAGCTACCCTCTGAGCTACTCAAAAGTTCGACTCCCTGTGTGCCATTGTCAGGATACACCTTCGGAAACTTCAGTGTGCCTTCAAAACACATATTTCCCTTCAAATGAGTGAAAGAGGAGCTCGGCTATCACTGATCGATTTGGTCCGAGTGTGCGCCGTGCATTACGCTCCTACGCAGAGGTGGTGGAAAGGTGTAAATTCTGATTTCAGGTGCTTATCCATGCAAGGATTGTTTAGGTTTTGGAAAGAACAATACATACGAATTTGTTTGAGACGTATTTTTAGTGATCGTGCTTACGAGTCCATGCTATTAATTGACACTTATTTATTATTTATTTATTCTGCTATTCTTGCTATATTGCTAATCAATTTTTTATTATTTTGTAGTCCTATTACATCCGGGTCTTCTGCAGCTTTCCGTCCGTTCCATCAAACTTAGCAATGACACTTTTGTACTGTTTGATGCCTAGCGAGCCTACTTTTGCGATACTCCCCACGTCCCCCGCGGCCAAGTACGATTCCCTTTTGGGATTTCGCATGAAAAGAGGGCTGTTTAACGGGGAACGGTTAGGACTCCACGAGAGGTCAGCCTGCCGCCGCCGCGGAGGTGCTCTCCGCGATGCTTTCGCTATGTATTTTTTGCATTTGCATAGTTCATGAGATTTCCAACCGTCTGCTTTATACTTGCAGGTGTGAAGGCTATGAAAGGAATGGGCCCGATATTCAACTACTAGTATAAAACAACGCCCATTAACATAGAAATAATATTTAGAGAATACATCAGCAATCTACGAAAATTCTTTTCAGGGTGAATCCTTCTTTTGGCCTCAATTGTAAGATATTGTAAGGTTTAAGATTCTCGGCCAGACGGTAAAAGTAGGTCCTATTGAAGAAATACAGCAACCCGTCGAATAAGTACAGCTGCCATTCAAAAAACACTGTCGTCCCATTGAATATTCTGGTTTGGAAAAATCCCAAGCAGGTTCGCGTGATGCCAGAACTATGTGAAGGGACGGGATCTTAATCGCACGACCATGTTGCTCTCGTAAAATCAGTTGCAATCGCCGCGCGCGGCGAGGCGAGACATGGCAGCCGTGACCTCTCGTGGAGTCCTAACCTACACCCGGCTTTGCATTCAAAGCACTATCACCAAAATCAGCCCCTATTCAAGCCCCACTTGATCATTAGTGGCTTCATGATAAATGAGTATTCGCGCTGTTTTTGCTTACTCATTCTAGGGCACATACAGTGTAAGATAAATAAGTAAATAAAATAAATAAGTAGTGTTTTTTATGAAATACGGTGATTAGAGCAAGGGGACAATTCAAAACGGCGCAAAGTGACTCACAGTCACGTTGTGGTACCCTGGCTGTAGGGTTACAATTAGTCCTACCGTGCTTAGAGAGCTTCGAGATCAGCGAAGTGCTCAGTCTCCTAATCAGGTGGAAACTTTTCCATGTATGGTCCCCTCTCGCGGCCCTGGGTCACGTACCCAGTCTTCGTAGAATTTGGCTGACTCACAGAGGTTCTATTTGTGAAGGCTTTTTTACAGTTCTTCCCATATTGAGGTCAGCTAACACAGGCGCTGGTCTTGTCTTTGGAGCTTTTGTAAGCTACAGTCACAGAATTATCTCTGGAGAAGAACACTGCCTTAGCTCATCTTTAAGTAGTTAGTCAGATGCATGACGTGAAGCAGAGGAGCTTCTCTATTACTTTATTTCTCAGAGCAGTTCGGCGAGAGGGGGAAGGGGGAGAGCATTTCACTTTCTTGCCACTTCTTTGCTACGACCATGTTCGACTATCTACTGGAGCACAGGGAATTATCTTGTTCTACCATGGCGGCTGACGAGGCAAGTTCACAGGTTTCACCAGACCAGAACCCGGTTTCACCGTGTTTCAGAATAAGGCTTGTAAATCGGAGCGAGTGGAGCAGCGGAAAACGCAGAATGCCTCCTGCTTGCCGCCAAACTGCGCCTACTTTTCTTCTCTCAGCTTTTCTTTTTCGACTCTATTATCCCAAAATTTTTTGTTTATCAAAGCCGAACGAACGAAAAGAATTTCAGTTTCACAACCATGAAGTGCATCTATACAGACTGCTGGAAAAATATGGTAAAACAGATATCCCCACACCAAAGGTATGATTTTGAATGAGTATGTCAACTATTTTCGTCTTCCCTTGTTCTGAAATTTTACGGTGGTAACCAGCTAGACGTTGCAGATCTATTTCACTCGTGAATACTCAGAAGATAATCCACTGAAAGGCTATATAATTATGGAATATATTGCTGACGGTGTTCCGTATCACATATTCGACAATGTTCAACCGGCGTCTATGATACAGGTTGATATACAGTTGAATTCTCATGAAAGGCCTACGTCCACGTCAAGCCGTCCGACACCATCGATAATGGCTGACCGCCTACTCAACCGATTTCTGTTGTTTTCAGCTTCTAAAAGCTGAAAAATAAATTCAAAATTATTTAAAACAGTCGGATCGCACGGCTGACGCCGTGCTCTCCTCC